CTATAACTGCACAACAACATTTTGCATTTTCTTCTCCATTTCTCAAACAAGAGTTCTCCCGCTTGGAGGTTATACTTCTCGACGCATGTCAGCTGCTCGAGAAAAAATAGACGCGCATTTTTGAATAGGCAGGGATCTTCCTGGGAGTATTTTCGAATCAGTAAATAAAGAAGGACAGAAACATACTGGTCTTGTAATGAACTGTTGCGATGGTTGATTTTCTACACAACAGGGATAGAAAATCTAGTGGGCAGAGTATCTATTAAAAGCACGCTTCATTTTACTGGTGTACTACAGTATCGCAGTTTCTTTTTTTTACTTGAAAGAACGTAAAAAAGAACTGTAAAGTGGGCCCTTTATTTCTGTTAAACATTTGTTATGAGAAAACGGTGCAGGTGTGACAGGGGTGTAACGGGTATCAAAAATGCGATACCGGTATACAAATTTCGTACCGGTACCGGCCGGTATACGGATGACCGATTTACCGGTCGGTACCGGCTTGTCTGGATCATGTTTTGCCTAAATACAAATAGTTTTACCTTGTTTTTTGGCTACCGTCTCTCTTAATCCGTGAAAGGAATGTTGTAGACCGAAATGTTGTTCTGGTCATTTAAAATTTTTCTCTCAGTGTCTCCCCTATCTCGGCGCTATCTAGCCGCTTCCCGCAGCTTGTTTCAGATTATTCAAAGCAATGAGTCAACATTGTGTGTCAATCTATACAGGAGTCTCCTGTTTGGGAAATGGAGAAGAAAATGCAAAATATTATTGTGCAGGTATAGTGGAAGATCATGATGAGCTGTGAGTATTTTATTTTATGAAAACAAGTACTCATCGTAATTCTGTTTTATTTTTCTCTAAGGAGAAAAGAAAAAATCATTAGAGGAGAAAAGTGTACCAATCAAAAAGGGGAACTGCATGTAGTTTTTAGTAGCTTTTCTTAATTCTTTTTTCTAAGAACGTGCTGCTTTTTAGGCTGTCGTTATGGCTTTGCAGATCGGCATTGAGAACAATTTTAGAATGATCAATATTTATACAACACCGTATGCCATTACTGCTAAGCAAGTCACCTTTTTCTTTCCAAGCCTAAGATTTTCCATCGTCTTTTTTTATAAACAATATCTTTTCGAACAGGCAAAAATTTCAATAAACATAAAAATGTAATAGTATTAATTTTCATTTTATTAAAATAGATATAATTACATTAAAACATATAGAATTCAACATTTCGAGCTTTAAAAGTTCATTTTCAAGAATATATATAGAAACGTGTCAGTAGCCGGTTTAAATTTATTTATTTAACAAATTTAAATTTCTATATATTTTAATATAATTATATCTATTTTAATAAAATGAAAATTAATGCTGTTACATCTTTATGTTTATCATCGTCTTTTTGTTTTAGTATCACATCGTGAAAACGGATGTCGATTTAGTACAAATAATTCACGATTTGTGTGGAAAAATTCAAGCAATGTTTGTAAGTATGTCTAAACAAGCATTGTATTTTAGGCTGACACCGGCGTCATTCTTTATTTTAGATTCGTGCTGCATGCTCTTCGTACAAGCATGCTCTTCGGGAGAGAAACTTTGTATTTTTATCGCCAGTTTAATGATACTTTCGAAAAATCATTGGCTATATTGAGTGATTTTCACAAAAATAATTGTAGCAAATAGATCTCTGATGCTGTATGTGTTTAACGCATTTCTAGGGTGTGACAGTCTAAACTTCAAGTGCATAGACATAAATGTTTCGAACGAACTTCTAAAATATGTCTAAACAATGATTGTTGAAGAAAATTTTTCTCGGATTTTATTTGCAAATCTACACATTAAACACATTAGTACCTCCCTGAGGTTGGTACAGAGTCGATAAGTACACAGTATTCTTCGTCATTGATGTTTTTCCTCGCTCTTTCTTGAGCAAATGGTTCGTTCCTACGTGAAATGCATGAGTACTTTCGCAAAATACGAAGGTTATTATATATACCGATTTGACTAATACTAGTAAATAGATACCTTTTTACAATTATGTAATAGTACGCTAATAGTGTACTCGCACAGTCGTTGTTTCTACTAGTATCTGATATAAAGAAAGAGAAATGACCATGGACGGATTATACGATGATCGACAGTATCGTAAAAGACTACATACAGTTATTATTAAACAGTCAGTGCTGAGTCATGACGTATATCCCAATCACGATAAAATCTCGATCGGCCTATATGATTATGCCGATCGGGCTACAAATCCCGATCGGGATAATTTGTATAGCCCTACCGGTGTATATAATCAATCAATCATTTTTCTGGCCTCCGCTTAACAATCGAATATACTATATATACTATACATGCTAGGTATATACTATATATATATTATATATACATATATAATATTATATAATATATATGTATTAATACTATATGTATATTACATTATATATAAGGATTATATTATGTATATTAAGTGTATATATAGTAGAGGCTATATATATATAAGATTAATCTTTGAGAAAAAAATTTCATATTTAAGATTATATATATATAATATATATAATATTACAGAGTATACTCCCCTGTATATATATAATATTATATAATATGTATAATATTACAAAGTATACTCCCCTATATAATACTATATTATATTATATATATATTATATATATCTCGGTCGCGATTTGTAGCCCAATCGAGATAATCGTATAGGCCGATCTAGATATAAGTCATGATTTCGCACTGATAGTGTGGCTAGATCATTTCGTTTGTTCCGTAGCGGATGTCTATACGTTACTTCGTCTCTCGTTGATGTTTGAATTACCATGGAGTATCTTTCTATCAGCTTTTGATTATTAAGAATTCAGTTAGAGAACTACTTCTGGTCACTTTTGTTGCATCGTGCTCGTGAAGATCTCACACTGAACTGAACTGAATTTTATGTAAATAAGTTTTCGTACAAAAGTCAAACGTACAAAGGAAACACCTAACGCCAAAGACTTATAATAAATAGTGGCACCTGCACGGAAGAGAAGTGGACAACTGCAAAAAGCGATTAAAGATCAGAAGAAAAAGCAAAAATGAAAATGATTTGATGATTAAAATTAGGTTGCTAAACATATTGAACTAAAGAACCATCTGGTTATGTGAAAACAACTGCATAATAACAAGATGAGAAATAGTTTTCTTTGCACGTGCCTCCTAAAGATCATTTGGAAACAGTGCTTGGGAAAAGGTTTATGAATTTTGTGATAAACTGGGTTAACGTATTGACTATCGAGCACTGCGAGTTGCTGACAGCGGTTTCATTTCGATTGGAAGTTATTCAGAAAACATCTAATGATGTTGGAATTTGAAATGGATAGTGTTCATTTGATGTAACTGCCAGCATGTGTGCAGGATGGCACGGGTCGAGGTCACAGTAAGGTCACCTTTTTTTAGTCTACCTGCTTATCAAGCTCTTTCAAAACTGTCGTGCAATATTCTCAACTATTAATACAATGCGATATGTTAACCTTTTAAAGAGAATTTAAAAACTGAAAATTTTACGCCGAAACTTTGAAACTGTTTTCAGCATATAGTCTGCATAATTGCTATAATAAAAACGCCTATTCGAAATATTTCTAAGTTGAATGATAGTTTCTTAAAAAGTTATTTAGTCCATTCTGGTGTTTCTGAAGCTTCGATTTGTCGGAAACCGTACTTCTACATATTCTGAAACTTTTCTGTGTGAACCAGTTGAAAGAAGCTTGTTCAAAATCCTTAAGTACTGGAATTGATCAAAGTCGGTTTAGTGTACTATATAGAGCTGAGTAAATCAAGTAAAAAATGCCTCAAGTCCGAGTCCAGTGTAACGTGACTTGCTTTGACTTGATCGCAAAAGCTTTTCGATATGACTCGACTTGAAAGATTTGCTTTCGTGACCTTGACTAGACCTGAAAATTCTTGCAATTCGACTCATTTGAAGTAAGAGCACCAGACTTGACTTTAATTGAAGGAAAAAATTTCGAGGGATGGTTTGACTTGACTTGGCTTAGGAGGAAAATTTTTCTCACCTCAACTTGACTTGACAATTGTTTTAGTGACTTGAAAAACCTCTGACTTGCCCAGCTGTGGTACAATAGTTAAGTAATCGCAAACTTTCGAGGTTTACACATCTTTAAAACTATCCATGACTATAGTCATGGATCCTTGGGAAACTGGACTATGACTCGGCCTATATCATAGTGTATTCTATACTGAAAATCTTGATAAGATCAACAAATTAGCTGCTCGCTTGCTCTGTAGAAAGTCACATAGATCGATAAGTGAGTTGATGCATAAAGTTAAGCTTCCTGGCCCAACTAAAGGTAGAAAAGTTTTTTGTTTTCCTCATTTCTACAGATTTGTCTAAAACAGATCACTTCTCTCATAGTGAATTTATTCAACTTTGTTGCGTTGTTTCATGTACCTTTCTGTTTTGAACGGTAGGGAACTCGAAGGGACTTCCTGCAGAAATGAATAGCCACTAGCCAAGCTTGATTCAGCGAAGGCTCCAGAAGCAATTAAAGCTGCAGAGATTTGTTGTTGTGGCTTTTTTCTTTTTTCCTTCCCTTATAGGAGGGATGCACCGATTAATAATCGATGTTGGGCATTCAGGAAAATCGCTCCGACTTGGTTATAGTAAATCTCTCAGAACTACGGAATATCTCATTTTGTAGAGAAAGGTTAGCTCTACAAAAGTGAAGTATTAAAAAGGGTTTAATGTTATATATAGAGAAAATATGATTAATCATAAACGCACAAAAGTCGCAAAAACATAATCGATCTTCGATTTTGTCTTTTACTATTTGGCACATTTTGGAATATTTCAATTGCTGTCACAAAGAACATTAAAACTTGTTTAATACTTTACTTTTGTAGAACCAATCTTTCTCTGCAAAATGAGGCATTACACAGGTCTGAAAGATTTACTATAACCGAACGGTTTTCCTGAATGCCCCAACATCGATTATTAATCGGCGCATTCATATTCCCTTATAAATTGTGTTGGCTTTCTGTTTTGTTGTCTTCTTACCATCTTGTTTATCAACAATAATCAATCCATTTCTAAAAAACAAAAATATTAACAAATGAACTATTATTATCATTGAAAGGGTTTCTTACATGGAATTCATATACTTAAGAACCCGACTTCTTGATATATAAGCCGCTTTGTTTAAAGCGGCAACACATGCTTTAATTGGGTAATACAAACTTCCCGTTGTTTGATAGTGTTGTATATAATTTTCTACAAATAAATTGGCTTCTTGTGCATATGTGTACAATACCAATTTTTTATCTACAGAAAAAAAAAGTTACAAGTACAGATACTGCAAGAAAGATAAAAAGGACAACTGATATCCCAATCGGGATATCGAATTATATCCTAATCGGAATATAATTTCAAACTATATCCCGTTCGGGGTATAGAAAAAATTTCGCTGCAAAAATGATAGATCCCGATTGGGGATACATCCCGATCCGGATATGTCTCCACACTGCCAGGGCGTAAGTAGTTCGTACGGTACAGATACGTTGTGGTTATCACTCAGAACATATCGTGCCCTGTACAACTGTACTCTAAAATCGAAGGACTGATCTCTTTTGGACCATGAAAATGTATTAGATTGGTGGGAATCTGAAGCCACTATCACGCCTTCTCTGCTATAAGAGGTTACAAACTATCCAGGTGCTGTCAAAAATTAACAGACCATATTGCGAACAGGGATCAAAGATCTTCTGAATTTCGCAGATAAATTCTGATTGCATAACCTTTTTTCTTCCTCGCTTCTGCATTTTTGTATAAAAAAACCAACGCCTTGCGATTTTTTTCCGCATTCATTTTTTTATTATTTCCTGATTTTCACGTGATCTAATATCTCTCATTGCTAATATTGTTAGTTTCGGAGTATAAAATCGCCCCAAATACTCAATTACAAAAGTATCGTGCTTACCTAATTTAGGATCTTCCTGCATTGGGCTTTTTTCATTGATTTTTTTTCTTGACCCGCATCTAAAGCTAAAAATAAACGAGGACAACAGAACAATTACAAGAGAATAAGTTCTCTAATAAGTAATTTACTAGCAGCAAGAAATGCTTTTACTTCGACTTGTTTGTGACGATTGACAATAGGATAATCTTCGGGAAAAATTTTTTTATTTCCAATTTGCCCTCTCACAAGATGATCTTTTACATCACCTAAACAGTAGAAATGAACAAAATTACAACGATAAATATTAACAGAAAAAAACAAACTTACCCAGATTGGTCACCGATTTCTGTATTGAATATAAATGTTGCATTATAGACTAAGACTGTTTATTCACGAAAAACAACACCAAAAGAGTACTAAGAAATAACAAAATAAAGAAGACAACTAAGATTAGAACCCAAAACTAGTAAACAACTATTTAAAAAAATAAAATTATTGAAACACTATTGAAATTATTGAAAAATCATTGAAATTATTAAAACATTATTGAAACATAATTGAAATTATCGAAATGTGAATATCTGAAAGGTAATTATGAGAATAAAATACAGAGAAAAGACGTGACAAGTCATAGAAATAGAGTAAGATATAACGAATAAGAAACATCAAGGGCAGATTTCAGGACTTCAACAAATGTCCGTTTAATATGCCCGGTGCGTTTTCCACAACTACGTTCTCTAATCTTTTTCGGAAAAGAGGGCTTCCTTTCACGGAGTCCTTTCTTCAGCGTAACTAATAAGAGCACTCACAACAGAGAAGATGTAGGCAAAGAAAAACTGTCCAGAGATAGTTGGTCTTTTTCTCTATCAGATCATCTAACACAAATGTTGTTGCATGGGTTCAAGGTTTTTCCTTTTGGAAACTGCTGCAAAAATAAAGATCTTTCTTTTCGCCTAGACAGAGCGACATTTAGCAGGATATGGGCAAAAGCCGATGTAAGCTAGCAGTTCTTTAGTGCATAGGGGCCAACCTCCCGCCGGCAGTTCTGTTTCCACTCCGCTACCAAAATCCTGTCCTCACATTCTCCACGTGCGCAATAAATGATCAGCTTAGCTAATGTATTTATTATTTAGCGCCATACTAGTACCGGCTGTTGTTTGGCCCAATCCGCATTCTTAGAGAATAAATTATTAGAAGTCTATTCCGTAATTTTGATAGGCCACATTATCAGATTCACTTATCGTCTTTTCCATCGTTTTTTGGTTCGCTTTCGGTATTTTATGGACACGACCAATCAAAAGAAAGCCGGAATGCCGGAGTTTTAGTCATGGCCTTTTTAGTCACGATCTGTTTTTTTACTGGACCACATACTAAACGGTGTGTGCGGAAAATACGGAAAAATGGCCGTCAGATATTTTATGGTTAAGCCAATCATAAGCGAGAATTCTTTCTGTTTACGCTAAAACAAACATCAAATCAGATTATCTAACTTATATTAGAGTTATTTCAGTTATCTTATATGCAACTTACTTATTTGCTGGTACTTTCAGAAGATTTCAACACCAATCCTAAATCAATGCACTGAATTAACCGTTTTTATTTGCAATTTGATTACTGTCTTATTTTCGGATACTGCGATTGCAAACGTAAGTTTAGTTAATATTTCTGTCTAAAGCAGAGATAAAGTGACACGAGTAACAGAACCGTTTCGGCCCGCTGTAAAATAAAGATACAACGAAATAAAAAAAGATAATTGTCCAACCTGGTTGATTGAGCCGCCATCTTCAGCAATCAGATTGAACAATCTATAGTTTTTATTTATCGTTTCCACGTTTATTTTACAACGCATGCTTAACTGCTTATTGTCTCATTCACTCCCATTGCTCATATAATATCGACTGTAGAGTATCGATGATATTGATCAAATACACAGTCTAACTCCAATACCTTTCGCATAACTCGACCGAAAATCCGCTCAACTCCGAAACTGCCAACTTCTGTTGGAGTTGCCCATCTCTGAATTTCTAAACCTGAATAACGTATTCCTTCGCATTTCCTGAGACATCATAAAGTGGCTGCTATATTCAACTTTTATAAATGTGATAATTTTCCGTATTTAAGGCTAGTGTCCGATGACGTATGCATCCTCTACGTAATATACCCGACATAAGTGCATCAACATCTAGCACTGGTAAATCTCTCTATCGATTGGCTGTCCCTCGAAGAACTGACGGCCATTTTATCACATTTTGCGAACGTACATAGAATTAATGTTTTAGACTTTTTTTTCGTCAGTATTTTGTGTACAAGGTAACGCTCGTCTCCACTCGCTTGGTGCCTTGACTTTAGTATGCTGGATCTGAGGTAGTGGGCGCCCTCTCGCGACTTTTAAATCGAAGACAATGCTTATGCCTCCCCACGGTCGGCGCTCTCTGGAAGCCTGACTAAGCCATCTTCATTTTTTTCTGTTTCCATGTATAAGATTCGTAATCTAATATAAACATAAAAGGCAGAAAGTCCTGAAGGTCTTAAAATATTTCTGAATTCAAAGCAATGCTCAAGCCTCCCTTCGGTCGGCGTTCGCAGCCAGTATAGCTGAGAAACGCTGTGAACTTCTCTGCTTCCACGGAAAAAGCGTCTAATGTAAATCAAGCTAAAAGGTTTTCTGGATACCCTCTACGCACCCTAAGAAGATTGGAAGTATTTTTAATCGATTTGCTATGATAGATTCTCTATACACTTTAAGTTTTATTATCTAGGCGACTTTTTTTGTGTTATCACTGTTGACTGCTATCTGGCGACATCTATCCACGACCTACAGAAAATGCTTGCTTAGCTTTTTATCTTTCTGCATCAGTAGATATTTCGGATCATCTCTTTGAATATATTCTCTCTCGTGGTTAAAAAATTTTTTTATGTTTCTCGCTTATGATTGGCTTAACCATAAAATATCTGACGGCCATTTTTCCGTATTTTCCGCACACACCGTTTAGTATGTGGTCCAGTAAAAAAACAGATCGTGACTAAAAAGGCCATGACTA